ACTGTACAAGATCTTGGGTACTAAACATTAATTTGCAGGGTAATACTGTTTCAAGAAAAAGAATAAATGCGAACGATTTATTTTTTGCGCCTATGGTACTGATGATACGCGTTGTGTTTGATTGTAGACGAGTCATTTTTCAAGTATTTTGTCAAAATTACAAGTATTCCATTTCTCGTATCGTGTTCTATGTTAGCCTGCGTGCGCACTGAACTCTGCTGCAAAGCAACGAGAAACGCGCCACACGAATGAAGTATGATGCCAGTTATATAGAACCGCTTTGGCATGCACTATTTGAAACTACGAAAATTTCGAAGCTAGGCTGCGTACAAAACCGCTAGTTTTTGGGCACGATGAAATCCCCATCAGACAAAAGCACACGTTTGCAAAAACTAACATCCGTAAAGTGACGTTCGAACAGCTTGACGGCCCGTGTAGTAGTTAAGTTTCTCGTATCATATACAATGTTACAAATCTCGTTTCTTATTTAGGATAAGTATTGATTAGTCTAATAAGTATAATACTGCACGTAAATCTGTGTTGATTTGCTAATTTTGGAAGAAAACTTTTGTAATTTTTGATTTTTGCGAAAGTTGGCGCAGAAGGACTGTTGATGAATCCCTGGGAGAGGGAGCAGTCTCCTTGTATTGAATGAAACCAATCGTACCTACTTGCGTGTCGAACTATTCACCAAAAGCTGAGAGTTCAGCTGCCTATGGAAGGTCATTGTACCTATTTGGGGGGGGGGGAGGGGGCAGCGTACATTGAAGTATCTTATTTTTAAAGTATAAATTAGATCAGCCTTATGATCGTTAACAGGGAGTGCGTCGTTGGGTGTAGTGAAAAATAGCTTAGAGTAGAACAAAACCAAGAAGGTTATGCTGCGAACTTGATATGATCTAAGCAGCTGGTCTGAGCTACTTCGGTACAACGAAACGGTAGTTATAATAAAATCTGAAACCGAAATCGATTCTTACTCGAATGGGAACTTCATTAAGAAGCGAAGAAATGAAAAGCAGCAAATTCAGGATAGAGGTTTTCTAGCACTCGTACTAGATGCTGATTGAAACTGGGCCAGTCCGAGCAAGAGATTACCATACCATGGAAAGATTTGGGTTTTGAAGGGCGTTACGAATGACTGGTGCGAGGCTGCTTCCATATTCTATTTAAAGGACTAAACATACTTGTTTTGCTTCGAAAAACAAATAGGGATTGCTAAGAATAATGAATATCGTTCTAGTCACTATACGGGCAAAATCCACGCAATGGAAGCGGAAACTACGGTAGCAATAATTGGTTTCTGCTGAGGCCCAACAACGGTACACTGAGGTACTGAAAATAGCTTGTTACGGAAGGAAGACATTTGCTAACCAGCCACGCAAAGCTCTTTTCAAGCACACGTAACCACTGGCTGAAATTGTAACGGTTTCTTCTTCGAACGGTGCCTTGCCTGGCATTTTTCGTTACTACTTCACAAACCCGAAGATTCAGGGACTCTTCGTAGCAACTATAATTCCAAGCGGTGTGTTCAACGTTGTTACATCAGAAAACGGGACTTGAACCACGATAGATATTTGCTATGAATCTGTACAGGCCAACGCATCTACTATTATATAGTAACGTGTGAAAAAAACATAAATAATGTGCGGTGACGATTAGGCCCTCACATAACAATCAGCACAGCTGATAATGATTCATATATTGCTGTCAATGAATAGTCACCAAGCAAACGGCGTAAGGATCCATATCAACGGAAGCTCTATGGCGCGTTCCCGTAATACATATGGATGGATCGTTTTATATAGTTGCATTGGCGATACTATAAATGGCGGATAATATACCGGATAGTAGCTACTTTATCTGGTGACAAAACGGACAGAAGCTGAAAGCCGCAACGGCAGTAGCAAAGGATAGCAAAATTCCTTTTTCCGCAGGTGGAGGGCACGACGATTTTGACTGGGCAGGTGGGGTCGATCCAAATCGTGTACATGTGTAGATTAGTTCGGAAACAGTGCGCTACGCTAACATCAAAGCATTTTGTCCTGTATATCGTTGCAATTCTGTGAGCTTCTAGTATGAGGCCAGTAACACTGGAACCGAGTCTTGTGGATGAATCTACTGCTTAACTTTGTCATACGTACATGTAGAGGGAATCGAGGGCTGATCGCGGGGAGTAAGAAAAGGCCCGTCGCAGTAGCGCCATAGCTAGTTAAGGCCATATTTACTATAGACGAAGTCAACTTAGTGCAAGCCTTTGTTGTAGACCACAGTTTATGATCTTACTTAATTCTTGGGACATAAAAGTACAAAGTATGCTATATCGCAGGTACAAGCACGCAATGCAGAACCAGCGTCAATTTAATGGAAACTCACTGTAACACTGACATGCACACGCGAGGACACAACGACCCATGTGTTCACATACATGAGCGAAACAAATACGTTCCGTGATCCGGCACTTTGAGACCTGACCTTTCTAGTAGCTTAGCAATCTAATTATATATCATTTGTCACGAACCCCATATAGGTATGCCTTTTATCCACCACATTTCTTGATAGCGTTGAAACCACTGCGTGGCAGTGTTCCCCCTGTATGTGCCGCTATAACGTATAGCTTAAATATAACGATCCTATAGGGAGTAGAAGATTTCCATACGACGAAAACGTATTATTTTTCCTTGCTTACGAATTTCACATTTATATTGTGCAGCTAATAGGAATATTGACGCCAACAACGACGACAGCATGATGCAGGCCTCTTTTTTAACGTTTCAGCCTGTGTGTTAACATATATATGATAGACAACGGTTCGGTAATGGTACGGTAATCGTAGCACTATACCGGTGCTATAGCTACCCAGTGTGAGTGAATCACTGAGTTCTGACTGGCTGGTTGGAAATGTAATCAAGGTCGATTGGATCTTGTTTTCTCCTTCCACTGCAGGAGAGCAGAGACAGCGTGTTTGTGCGTCTTGACGTTGTGTGCGCTATGGAGCCTTGCTTCGTCTGTTGCGCGCTGGGCCTGCCTTCAGCCACATTTTCAATAGTCAGATAAACTCTTTCTGCGATCATACTTCTCTCAGCCATGCAGTGATGACTTCAACATAGCCCTCTATTAGGTATCATCCCTTTGAGAATCAAAAACACTTGGCGTCTTTCTCAACAAGTGCTCACGGTCAGTCGCTAAAAATATAAACTGTCGTTACGTCTAGACTAGTAATTCAGATTTATTATAAATAGAACAAACAGAAACAGTGATATGTAATGATAGAATAACACTGTGTGTCGTAATATATTCCTGTAACCGATGGAGGCAAACGTTCTGCGTGCTAGGACGTGCTTCTAAAATTGGTTGCCGTTAGTATATATCGTGTGAAAAGCCCGTCAAGCGGCAGTGATTACGTCTTGACACAGGAGTGACTATCTAAAATGCTCGTCCCCTGGATTTGCGCAGTTGAAATGCGGAGGTTGGTGTTCACGGTGTGCTCATTTACTTTTGCAGATACGGGAAGATTATCCATAGTGATCAGCTTTTATCTCGTAACGATTCTTTTACAGCCGACAAGCCCCGAAAGTGAGGTGTTTCGGCTTGACTTTGCGACATCGTGGTATAATCTATTAACGCCGTAAACAAAGAAAAACTTGTTGCCAGGCGAGGAACTCGCTTGGGCTTTATATACACATATATATATATATGTTTATATATAGCTAGTTTGGATAATTATCAGAATTGCGTTTATAGCGCAACGAGCAAGTTTCCAAGGTATTCAAAAACAAAAGGAACTTACTTACTAAATTCAAGTTCGATTTTTATACGGTACAATATAGTACGTTGCCTTTTCATGGCACTTATTACATGCTATCTCTGTGGACGAATACATGATCGATCGATTTTTTTTTCTGGACCGGGCTTAATTGTAAACAGCACCAAAACTGCGTATAAAATAGGCTCTACCTCGAAACCCTAATCAATGTCTGGGTGCTAGGCTGTAATTCTTTCTTAAATATGAGGCAATTAAATGAAAAATCCCCAGTCAACGCTTCAGTGGCGCTTTTTAGGTAATTTCTTTGAGTAACATCACTTCTAATTTTGACCTAGATATTAATATTATTGGCCGTAATTCTCTCATAAAGCTCAGACTTGTTCTTCAGTTATTACGTGATGCATAATTTCACACTGATGACCTCACAAGTGCGAAGATCAACTATCCAATATTTAGTGAAGACGCGTAACCTTCAACAAAAATCAAACGTATTTACGTAGAAAAACATCTCATATATGTAGAAGCATACATAGGTTAACAAATAGTCTTGCAGAAAGATAACAACTTACGTTAAAGTACCGTCTGCGATATGCCTCGTTATTTATTCTTGTTATTGTAGTTATCCTGACCGGTGCTTCCTTGTCTTCCTTCGAGTATTCAATGACCTTGACGTTACTATTTTAGGATCGCATTGTGTTTTTGGCGCACTCTTGTCGCAGGTGGCTACTTCCTTCGATTAACGATTTTTTTAAAGCGTCACGCATCGTGCCTGTTTTGCTACTTGCGAGAAAAATAATTTCCAAAATTCTATGCATACCCGAGGAACCAAGTAGCGAGGTGAAAACATCAATCTTCTACCGTGTCATTTCTAATATGTTCGGACACGAAACATACAAGTCTATCTAGTACTGAAACAGGACTAATATAATTTTATCTGACCCAAAGGCGGCCTATAAATGATGCTAACGTATATTGCACCGATAGATTTCTCTCACCTGGCCCTTTTTGGTATCGCCTTTTTACTAGATTAGAGATCGGTTTTAGGCCATGTTTTAATACTGACAGCCGACTGACGTAGCGTCTTTACGCGTAACACGCACAGGTGCAAAAAAAGTACATCAGCAAATAGGTCAAGGGTATCCTAGCAGTAACACGTGCATTCTATCGATTAGTCGACCTTTTCTCTAGGTGGTAGTTCTTTGTGTGTATGGATATAACATGTGGAGATTGGTTTCAGAATGCCAACAATCGTTTCCGCCGATAGCATCTCGTCGCTGTCAAGCCGAAGCCTCGGTGATCCGTTCGTTGAGATCGCTTGGCTTTCAACTGTTACACTTGAGCAGTATGAACGACTCATCGAGAGGGATGATTCCTTCGCGCATGCCGTGCTGCGATGGCTAAGTGGATGGTTCTACAAAAATGACCGGGCTTCCACCGAGGAACAATGCAGTACGTTATTCAGGTTTCTCGAAGGTTACAAGTTGGACTCACATTTGCTTGTGGCCCATTTTTATTCAAACAATTCCCGTAATAAAGTTTAGAATTTTTTTTCTCAATTTAACCATGCCGCGCTCATATATATTGTCTTATTGTCAATATTTAAAATTTGCCGGCTGATGCTAAGTAGAAAATTGTATCATTATTTGAGAACTACTGGTTCATGAGTAAAGTCAGGGCATGCTTGTGCAGAGAGCAGTCGCATCATCGTTCGATCATGATTCCAAAATCTTGGATTATGATGAGATCGATCTACTAGCATCGACGAAAATTTGGAACTATGCTGTTTTGTTTGGTACGGTTGTAACTCTCCTGTCGGAGGCACTTTTAAAATGATGCCAACAAAAAACAACAACGGAATATATTTATATAGGTCCTTCTTGGTTACAACTTTTAAAAATTCGCGGTTTTATTTCAATAGGATGGGCTCCCTCGTCTGTCTTCGTAAGAGTTATTCATGTCGTTCAGTTTTTAGCCACTCTTTTTGATACATCTGGCCCTATTTCTGAAACGGCAGAACAAATATTTTCTAAGTTTGCCCAGCGTGCGTCGATTGTGGTAGTACCCTCTGCTTCTTAGGTATTTTCATACGAACAAGTCAAGCGGACTTATGTCACCTGATCAGAAGGGCCATATAAACCTATCCCACTTAAGGAACAACTGCTCTGACTCTCTAATAACACGACGATATTTTCAATGACGAGGAACAGTGAGCCATGCTGATGAAACGGCATATCTTGCAAACTTCTTCCAACGATTTGGGTTACGGGAATGCCTAAGATCATCTCCGAGTTTACAGTCTCACCTAAAATAACGTCGGTGGCGCCTCCGACCCACATCCAGCTCTAGGCAGTGGTTTTTTGGGTATACAAATCCCTTTTGTGAATAGCTTGAGGATTCTCGCTTCCCTACAGCGGGCAATTTTGTCTAAAACCTGTTTTCGTCGCTGCTCGCTCAGGCGGTGGGCTATTGTTGTATTGTGCACTATTATACTACAGGGAGGTTGCGGGGGCCTGTTTTAAAATGACATAAAAAAACCACATAAAAGCCCAATTGGACCAACACAATGTTGAAACAAGTTGCAGCTACCGTAACGTTCTATCATTGAAATGATTCACTATGGTCGAATACCTTAGCATGATTCGCAAGGTACCATTTATCTAGCGATAATATAGGGTGATATTATAATCAACCGGTGCACCATTTACTACTAGGAATGCCTGATGTAGATTTTAAAGGGCGATACATATTTTGAACGTTTTCGTAACTGCGCTTTTGATTGATTTTATCGAACAAAGTTTAAGCTGTGAAGCTAGATGGTTCAATATGGGATTTGAAGATGATTCGGTAAAATAGTCCAACCTAGCTATTTTTTTTTACAGGAACAGATGAAAAGTCTGAACTTCTAAACATCTTTTATCTTCCCTGAGCCTTATTTAGCCACTGAAATAGTCTTCGCCTACTAAAAGTACTTTTAAAAAAAAAGTAAAAAAAAAAAGAGAATATTTGTCCTTATTTTTGCGTCAGTACCATGTTTGTTGTACGATTAGTGATCGATATTTTGAGCACTTGCTAGGATATTATCAGATAACCTATTTAAAATATTAATTATTTCTCGAATTTTGCTAACACACTCAATCGGTTCTTTATGGCTTTCCTCAACTAGGGCCTGATCTAGCATTTCGCTAGCGTCAGTAAACCTTAGCTGAAAAAATGGAAAAGTAAAAACTTAAAAGTAGTTTTTGGGATATTAATTTTCTAAGATTGGAGTATTTATATCTAAGATATCCTTCGACCGATCGCAAATACTGCTATCGGTAAAATCGCATATTAATTCTGCATGATCGCATTAAAAAACTGCTTCATTTACTACAATCCATCATCCCCTAAAAATTGATGAGCCATTTTTCTATATACACAGCCAAATAATAAGAGACAGTTTTTCTATTTGGAATTATTTGTTTCTATAGAAATATTTCTGGTAAATGATCTCATTTAACCTATTATCATTCTTTTAAACAACTGAATGAATCATACGAATAATAATCCATTTAAGACTAAAAATGCTGCGAAGTTTTTTTGAAAAATCATTTTTTTTCTGTCAAACGACTCCTAAATAGTGAGGCTCTGTGAAACTAAGTCGGTATATGGAGCTTCGCTGAACTTCCAGTCAAGCGTGCCTTCCACAATATATCAAATCATCTGGAAGAAAAATCTTTGCGAACTTCTAGTCTTTCCTGATTAAATACTGCAGATTGCAATTGAAAATTACTTTTGCCTAAACGTGCTTCAGGAGGTAAGGCCAGAAGAATTCCATAAACAGATAGCCTTTATACACTATGCTAACTGCACACGGTTTAATGCTTAAAATTCGAAATAAATTTCGAAGTAATGCCGGCCAAATTCGATGTTCTCTATTACAGTCCTCCGATCATTGAAACGTTCACTAACTCTTTTTAGAAATTGATACTAGTTCCTTATCTTAATCTTCTCTTAAATTTCATTGATTATCCGAAAACTTGTTTCTTCGAGATGATTTACTGTCCTTTAGGAAGAGAGGAAATTACAAAGGAATGGTAGATTTGATGAATACCGGAGGTTGGGGTAGGATATGCATGGAGTTTTTCTTTGCAAAAAGCGTAACACAAATGATGGCTATCAAATTAGTATACCTTGTAAGGATAATGCACCGCAGTTTTTTTTATCTATGCATACACTCAATATACAATTGACTCAGATGTTGAAGAACGCCGAGGTAAGACTAGCAAGTAACACGATTGTAGGCCATCCAGGATGTTAATTTTTAAGGATTTAAAAGGTTTACTACAGTATATTGAGATTGGGAAAAATAATCTTGAATTCGTGTCAAAATTTACCTAACGCTTTTTGCATAAAAATATATCTTTTAATTAAGTCTTGTAGCGAGCTTCGTTGAAATCAGACTTCTGTCGAAGGGGATTTTTCCAGGTCATGTTCTGTGACTTTTCCGTGTGGTCATTCCAAATGATTAATTCATTGCCACTCAAAACAAAACCGCATCAAACAACTAGATTATTGTGGGTGATAAAGTAAAACTTGTGCGAAACAGTCTGGGTGAGGATTGTAGGCGTCGATTTCTGTCAGAGTACCCGTTTAATTTTCATACAAGTCATCTGCTTTCCTCTTATCTCGATCGCACACGAGACATATAAATTTAAAACGATAAGAGTAACATCAATCTCATGTAAGTTTCTTTCTATTTCATGTAAGTAATTCTTTATTTCGTAATATCCACAACATCGCCTAAATCGTGCTTTGTTCGCATTTCCAGATATGCGGGACATTTCTGTAGAGAACTTCATGATGAAACTTGAAACAGGGGTAATGCTATGTCGTATGGCTCAACTCCTGGTAGCTCAAGCGCAGAATCTTGGTCGACCTATACTCAATCGGGCAAGTTCGAAAGGCATAAGTGTTTTGACAGGAGACAACACAACCTATGTCGACAGATATCATTAGAGGGACAACAAAACTGACATTATTAATATTACATATTTTTTAGTGGACTAATTATGGCATATCGTGTTGGCTTGTCCATCATAACAAGTTAAACAGCAATATTGTTAATCCTTGAAGTCAAACGTAATTACTAAATAGATCGAAAACAAATAAATATACGACTGCCATTTTTAAAATCAAGCCTGACCAGATAGATTGACAATTCTATATACATATCATACACAATTACATTAGCATATGTGTGCTAGGGCCTACAAGCAGCTTGGAACTACAGTTAGCTGTAAGTAAAATAAACTAAAGTAACTTATAATGCCTTCTGTTTAAACTAGTAGACGGTTTCAACTTCAACCAGAAAAATATAATCGCGTGTGACACTAAAAAATAGTTACTCTATTTACTCAGTGTATTACCTTTTATCATACTCCTGACTGGTGGATTATCTGTGTTACTTACAATATACTCATCTTGCAGTACATTCCATTTGACAAAAAAGTTTGCATCAATTCAATTAGCCAAACAAGACGCTTTCTTAGAAGTACAGTCAATTTTATAGGGCTTATTGAGATAATTCTGAATAAGAGTACTGGTCTAATGCTATTCCAGTGTGTTCCTGCCTTCGAGTTTAAGCCATGGCTACACGCGGCTCCGAAAAGTTTTTATGCTCGTGACAACGTGGAGAATTTTACGAGATGGTGCCGCAGATTTGGAGTTCACGAAAGTGTCCTCTTCGAATCTGATGGACTGGGTGTGTAGAATTTCTTAAGGAATTCTTCTTGCCTTTACCTGCGGACTTCGCCCCGCGCTGTCCAGCACCTGGGCGTACCGTTTCCGTCGGAAATGTTCAGTTTAGAAGTATCCAATATTCAGCATTACTTTAGTTTGTTTTTCGTGGTAGCCGGATTGTAGGAAAGGCCAGTCAGAAAAGGATGCCCTGCACACAATGGATGGAAACAAAAAATAATGTTATAGTGACAAGAAGAGATTACAAACTCAAGGACGCTTTGATTTGCCTTATCTTCTTTATGGGTAACTGGTAACCCCAGTAGTACGAAAATACGAGTTAGTTTTAGAAATGCGTTTTTGTAAAGATATCTTATAAAAATTTCGCTTTGTTCCAATTCCTTAGCAAAGATCAGTTCTAGATGTTTTTCTGACAAAATGCAAATCTTAGGTAGAAGAAGTCGTAGCCAGGACACCGCAAAAGCATAGTCCTTTTCTTTCCCTAGACGTCACCTCGGCTCACTTAGGTCTACTCAGCTGCTCTAGAATAAATACTGATGTGGAATATATTTTCTTTAGTGATGCATCAAACTCCGCGTTACGTTCTGCTTGTTCTGCTTGAGCTATGCCGCCTCTGTGCGGAGCTCGGTGTGGATCCACCATCTGTCGAGGCACAAAAACGTGACAAGAAGGCCCGCGCACAAAACGAACACGAAAGAAGCAGACGATTAGAGCGGGAAGACAAAAAACGGCAACAACAGGAAGAAGCTGACCGCATTCAACGACAAGAGGTATTCTACGGTTACATAGTATATAGTAACATATTTGGAGTTGCAAATCGCATCAGCTAACTAGAAGATCCTTATCGATCTTCAAAAGAACAGTAAAATTAATACAAAGCATGTCAATGGATCGATAACAACAAAGAACTGGGCATGAATATGTGCTTGAGCGTAGTGACCAAATTGTGATTTAAGTGACGAATGAACATCTCGCATGATCATCTTATAGCCGAGCGATGTAGGCTCACCTAAAGATCTAGCTGAACGATTGTCGAACACGAAAAATTGACTGGAACATGTTCTTTAGATGGAAGATGCTATTTCGAAGCTTATAGCGGGACATTTTTTCTCTAGACCGTGTTTCCTGTACTAGCCGCACCTATTTCTGCAACTTTTTGCCGTTGTAAAAATCGAATAAAAGGTGTCAAAAATACTGCGTTGGCACCCGATATACCTCTTTAAACTCCGAACTCAAGTTGGAATTTTGTGATTCGAAAGGTTTGACGACAATTCGAAGAATGGATCAGCTATTTAAAAAGACTATAGACATTTTATAAAACGAACATTCTATCAAACTTAGGGAGGGCACACTAACATAAAAAGTAATGAGTGGGAATAGGAACGTCGTACCAGCGGAATTGCTAACCGGAACTTATGTAGCGGTACTCTGGAGTGCTGAATTGCACTTAGCACACGTGTGCGATCGGTAATAAATTTCAAGTAGAAATTTATTACCGATTATTACCGAGAAGTAATTAAAAAAGGGAGCTCAGAGGGCAAATTGGTTTTTAGACTTCGAATTTTTTTGTGAGTTTGCCAATGAACAAGCGTGTAGGAACGGGGCATGGGTATGACGGACTAGATATGGACGGCGCTTCTAATACGTACGACAAGCTATGTGATATTCGACGTCATCTATATTATTAACTGTTTTTCGCTTCGATGATATTTTCGTTAGACTCCCTGAGAATAAATGCCCCTGTTTTGTGGAAGGGTATTCTAAAATATAGACCTGTATATGTATATATATGTATATGTGAAAACGGTTATAGGTCTGAACGTTTTGATTTGTGTTAACGTCTAGCAACCATTTCTAATCTTTTAATGATGGGTTGAGTTTAATTTTGATATCTTTCCTAAGTATAGGTAAAGCATGGTAAATGTGGATAGTGATCTAAGAAAATTTCTAAATTATCCCGCTTTTTAACTCTCAGGAAAAATTAGCTTAAAATTAGCTCTGCAGTTCACAAAAGGATGTTAAACATAGTATAGGCGATCTGTCTTAGTAACGTGAACATATCCTTACTTCTTCCTGATTATATTGGCATGTTAATTTGTTGTGAAGTCCCTGGGATGCTTTGACGGGCAGCAGGAAAAATTGCAAGAACATACAAATCAATTTATTCAATATTCATCTCTTTTTCTTATATAACAGTGCGTGTTAGACGTAAAATGGCCCTGCTGTATATGCGTACAGAGCTTATTTTCGCCTTACTTCGAGGCAATAGGTTTTTTGTATGCGTGCGCACCATATTTTTTTTTTAATAATTGTATGAGCTTGCTTGCGCTGAATCAGCCTGTTCGCTTTTTTCGAGTCCACTGATTTTCTAATGCAAAAAAAAATGTTTCTACACTCATTCTATTGTGTTTCTGCCTGAAGCCGCTGACCAATCGTCCATGGCTATTACGTCCTAGTAGGCGCCTCTATATCCATTGAAGCCATGTACAAACGAATCGATCTAACATATAGGAGCATTGTCTTTTCAAAGTGGCGTCCTCCAACAGTGTGTGGAGTCGATGAAATGCTTCTGGAACAGTCTGTATAATATTTAGTGCGTTGTTTGTCGACTGCACCTAGATCCGCTGTGAGCGGACATAATCCTATATATCAAAAGATGTTATAAAACCCCTGTGATGTTTTGATTTGTCGGTTTGTGGTGTTATTAACTGAAGATGCTCGATGCGGCTATGAGGTATGCTGAAAAAGAACGCGTCCCCAAGGAAAAAAAATTTCAAGAAGGAGACGGAACTAAGTTGCAGACAAAAGCTGAAGAAGTGGAGTTAAGTTTGAAGCAACAGTTCGAGGATTCTCACCAACAGAATATCGCTTCAAGTGAAACATTCGAAGGTGACTACATGTTTAACAATTTAATTATAAATATGTGTCTAGATGCCTATTTACGCGTTCTCGTTTATACTCTGAAAAGGAAACCCAATTCGCCTAAAATATAAACTAATGTACTACTGTTTATCAGAATAGACCTGGCCTGATATTTGTTTCAGTGTCTTCGTAGCCATCGGGCTTCACGTTTCATGTTTTCTTGCATCAAAACGCACAGAAGCCTTGTGAGAAAAGAGAACTCAGTTGTGTATTAATAGAGTATAAAAACAGCTATTCAGTCGTAGTCTTTCATAGGTGCTAGAGTACAATTGTTGAAGTTAATTTTTTTGATTTACCAACTTTTTTTTGCTTTCTAGAGGCGACTAAGCTAAACGGCTATATATATATATATGTAAATATTTTAGACTTGACTACCTCGACCATTGCTCGTGATTCAGGCACTCTCACTGCAGTTTGTTACGCAGAAAGCATCCTGATGAACTGTGTTGATGCTGAAGAGGACCACATATTAGAACAGGTCGGGCAATTGGGCGAGCAATCGTTTCGAAGCCGACTGCCTATCCCTGTGAGAAAAATCAAACCTGAAATTGATCGACAGCCCACCAGCATTTTGGATGAAAAGGTTATTGACTTTTACTGACCGTTAAGTAAAAAAACTTAGCTATAACGATCCAGTTTGTAGGAACGTTCTTACAAACACTTAGGTTGTTTGTGGGTGATAGTGAACTTTCAATGAGTGCACAAGCTCTCCGTATAGAGAGTGGACATTTCCAGGGATACTGTTGTCAGTCAGAAATCTGCGATTTATAGTGGCAGATATAGTTATAGATAATCTTGTATTCACATTTCATTTATTATCTGCTAGACGTTGTTTATTTGTGGCCTGTTTTAATTAGGTTTTTTTTTCCAAGTATTTTGTTTGTCCGTGTTTTGTCGCTTTCAATGATTAAAACGTAACAATTTTTTCCCACTCGTGCAAAAACCATGCCGGTTCAGCGAGCTGCTTGCTTGGTACGATGCCGCTGGAAAACGACGTGTCTTAATTGTAAGCACTCTTTGAGGATGAGATTTAATAGTACCTTGCTGTTTTTGGCTGGTGTATTTCGTCACAGAATAATGTGTTTATCCAAGCTCTGCGTTAGTAAGTGGGTCTGAATTATTTTTATATGTCGTATGTAAGTTCTAGTTCTAAATAGCATCTCCAAGGACCCTTCTTGTTTATAGTCTTGGGTTATATTATAGACGCAAACAGTTAAATTTGAATGTTAACACTGGCCGTTTCACACTTAGTGGACTTGAAAACTCAAATTGCGTAGTTCAGTACATCCATTTTAATTATACCTATTATATGTTTAGTCAGAACAATTTCTTCGTTTTATTATGTGTGTTTATAATGTGGCACATAATTCACACAGTTACTAGCTAGTTAAGTTTAACTTTAGCTTGAAACAGTATTCCTGCAAAATTATAAACCGCTAACCTAAAAACCTAAGGAACTTGAATCAACGTCTTTTCTTTTCTCTATATCAGTGGATTTATCAGAGAATCTAGACATCTGGATTTACATTTATAGAATTATATTTTTTATGCTTATTTAGTTTTCGTCAATATAGCGTATTCGTTCACCAGGTAAACACTATTGTCAATAAAGTGTTAAAGGGCGCCAAGCTACATCAACTTTCCGAGGGAAAGTATCTAATCAACAACCGTCAGTTCCTTGTTCGGGTAAGTTTTTAGATACTTGTTCTCGCAATAAACTCAATAAAAACCTCTAATTATTTATAGAGTTTATTTAACATGTTCAGCTCTAGTCTGTCTTGTGCTAAGTACTGAGCGTGTTGCAGATCCTGTTAAACAATTAACCACTTTCATAAGAATACACTCTGAGTAGAATCTGGTGCCACAGACGGCCATTTTACCATTGCAACATCTCCAAAAGCACCTGCCAATAATTTTTTAGCGCTTATATATTACCGTCTGTAATGTTATAACCTAATCTTTAGCAGCTAACGTTTCAGTTTTTTTAATTTTTTATTTTTAGACGCCAATAGCGTCCATGAAGTTTGAAGTACACATTGTTGTTGTTATTAAGATAAGATAAAAGGCTCTTTCGCAGAAGATTTGTAATCTATATCTATAATTACTTAACATTATGTCTATACCAAAATGTACACATTACTGTAAGGTATGGAGGGGTATATTTATATACAAAAGTACATTAAAAGGCTTGATACAGTATCTAGTTCATATGTCTATGACATCGATGGTCAAGATGTAAAGCCGTCGTTGAAATAAAGCGAGTTGAAGTATCCGTCATAGATGAACTATACTATACATCTGACTCTGCTTCTATCAAATATATCAAACGTGGAATGAACGTCTCTATTTAAACACAGTTACGGGGCTAAGTGACTGTATATTGAGCTCTCGATCGTCCTTACCACTCCAAAATTGTCTTCTCGGGTTTTAACCATGAAAATAAGTCTTCTTCATTTTTCATCAAAGCAAAGCTAATGTTATCTAAGACTGTGCTATTATATAGGATATATATGTACAAGGAAATTACCCGGAGATATATCTATATATACACACATATATCTATATATATACACGTACAAACATATATATACGCGTTTCAAATATAAATTTCGCTCACCTTTTAGATTTCAGATATATTTTGACAAATGTAGAGTTGTTTGTCTCTATTCTGGATCTATGGAGAAAATCTATGCAGAACTTTGACAAGTTAGAATATTTGAATTTTCCTAAGGTGCAAAATTTGTTTGTATTGAACAGAAGACGGAAGATCAATTAAAACAATGATGACATAATTTTAAATCCGAACACAAATGCTGGATATGATGCGAAATCCTTTGCTTCTTATTTAGTTAAGGCTTCGTCAGAGAACATGAGGATTTCATTATGAAACATGGGTAGACTAAAGGCGCTCCATTATACTTTAAATGAGTATTAAAATAGACAGATGTTTATTGTGTATAAAGGTGTTATATCGGTCAGAAATATGGCCTTAATAGGATCCATAGCCCTTGAACGGCTTAGTAACGGGGTTTATTTGGAATGGAAAGTGTAGAACGTTAACTGTATATTTTAGCTAATAGGAACATTAGATAGCTATTGTGGATTACAGTCGCATGAAGGCAGCCTAGGTGAAAATAGAAATAATCTTATTTTGAACTAATAAACATTACAAAACAATTTTCGATTCGCTCGACAACGCCGGTTGCCTCACTCTGAACAGCCATAACGTTCAATCAAGTTTTGATTACCTGTACAGACAGACACGCTTAACCCAAGTTTATATTTTGAGAGTATAGAAGGTGCGGAAAACGTTCATGAGATAAAATCAACGCAACATACGCTAACAGCTCTGCTGTTAAATGGATGATGTTATTATGCAGCGCGCTGATTTATACCCTCCGTTTTTAGTTACTCAATGAAAAGCAGGTTATGGTTCGAGTTGGGGGAGGTTGGAAGAGCTTGGAGGACATGCTGCGGCCTAGGAATACTGGGCAGGGGCCGCTCTACTTTAAGAAAACGGCCAATTTCTCCACAGCAACAAATTCGATCCCCGCTCTAGAGCCGTTTCCTAAAGAAAAGAGTATTTCTTCATCTGGTTTGTTACTCAGCAAATCCACGGAGTTAATAATGGCTGCGAGTATATTGCCAAAGCCGCAAACAGGTGGATCGACTACCAGCCTAAAAAGTGAGTAGATTCCAACGTTAATTTGTTTCTAACAGTAACCTCTGTGAGGTATTATAACGAGCCAAGTGTGTACCAAATACTAACTTATTTATAACAAAGCGCAATTTAGAAATTATTTAACAGAGAGTACATTCACACGCCAGCTCACGCACACTGCCTTGCAGTTCCTCGTTCAAAACACGCTTTCGATGTTATTTATGGGGAGTCGACTAGATTAGCATTGAAACAAAATCATGTAACTTTGGGCAATGGCCTTTAAATTTAACGTTGTGCGTACGTTCCGCCGTCAGCTTCATATTCGGCCCGCTCTATTCACTCGTAGTATGAGACAGGAACGTTGCTTCTCTCTAACAATTCAGAAAAGTTTGTACCGTGAAATACGGTGGTCGCAGAGTCGTGATGATCGTAATGAAATAGAGAAGTTACCAAGGCGGGATTTCAAGAACAGCGTGACGATTCTACAGCTTGTCATCAAATCAACTGCGTCTAAATGCGTATTAGTCGAGAAACTAAGAGCCAAACCCGAACAGCTTAAGAACGGTTAGGTCCTGCCCGGCGTGCCTATGCGGCGCAGGACTTGTCAAAAAATTAATCAAATCTGGCACCATAACGGCACTGTCTCAAGCTGTGACAGCGTGTCATATTCCTAGTAATATGGCGCTGGATGTCTAGCTAATAATATCATGTGGGTCCAAAAACCTAGGAAGCTAACTAGAACGCACGGAACTCTTCCAAAAACCAAAAATATTTTTTGATTACAGTCGTATTCATTTCATTGTCTATTATGTTTTTGCAAGGGCATTGAGAAAAGCTAATTCATATATCCTTTACAAACTGAAAAATCCGTTAAGGCTAAATCTAAAGCCCATATAGGCAATCTGATGAAACGAAATCAAGTGACTTACATTATGTAACAGCGTTCTTGCTCATCTGGAAACCTTGTCTGGCATAAGTCTGTCTTATGCTTAAGGAAGTGTTTTACAAAAATTAATTGCTCGAGCGTTCCTCAACGCCCTTGAAGTTTATCCGTGATCGAAACTTCTCTGCACTTACCTCATTCTAAAGTGATATTAGCATTGTGCCAATCATTCTCCATAAACATTCCGTTTTGAAACACACTACTTTAGGTAGACTGTAACGATGTGGCGATAAGACGTTACAGTTAGTTCTATTAAGTTACTACTAACTGAACCCAAAAATTTTGGCAAACTATTTTGGGCATAACCCAGTATCACTCAACTCGCTTGATTTAGCCCTACAGGCGATTGAGGTTGCCTTAATATTGTATAATGTTGCCAGAGTGAATTATCATTTTTAAACTAATGTAAGATGGCTGGTTGCGGAAGTGTTACTTTGTTTTTTAGGAAAAAGTTGTAATTCCAATTAAGGTTTGATAGTGCTTCCCATATATATAATGTTAATTGAACTTGACACACACACATACTCTGATATATTTATTTCTTATAAGAAATATTTAAAGAATACTTTCTTTAAAAAAAGAGAAAAAGTTCTTGGAACAATAAAAACAGGACATAATGGTGATGTTTTGCGTTACAAACTGGAAGTCAGATTCAAATATTTTTGAAGCAAGGACATTTACTTTAGAAACATAGCTATTTGCGAAAGGCACACAGCTTTGCACCAAATAGGATAACTATAAAAATATGCCCCCATATTTTAATTATAGATAAAATACAGGTGTAGCCCATTGAACGAAGTCCCTAGTATGCTCTACCACATTAAATTTTGTATCCTTCGACTGTGTCAGTCTTCTACTAGACATTACCTAGCTAGCTAAATAAGTAGTCTTGGGCAAGTCGGCCCTATAGGAGCAAAACGTTGTCACATATTTTGTACATTCTTTGTACAAGGAACAAAATGAATGTATTTATCTTATTTTATCTAAAGACATTATAATGTAGAAAAAATGTACGCGCTGCAAAGGCGATGTCGTATATTAAGTCCAAAACGTACTAAGAATGAGCAGTCACGTTATATGAGTATAGTAATCCTGTTTTTCGTTTTACTACGTAGCAGACTTCTAGCTAAAGCAGTGTTGATAAATCCAGAAAGGTATCAATTTAATTATAGCTGATAAGTGCTCCTACTATATATATATATATATTAAAACAGCTTTCAAATTATCGAAATAACTCGTCGAAAGTAAGTTGTTTCGATTTCGTCATACACAAGCCAGAAAGATGCATAAGTTCGCCTTGTCCTCTCCGATCCTCAAATATAATAACCGGGATATTACAATCTCTTTGTAGGAAAAACTTAGTACAAAGTTAGATGAACGTAACAGTATAAATAGAACAGTATTAGCCTTTAAAGCTAAAAATGGCACAATGTTAAGCGTCTTGATGATCTTATAAAAAGGGTAAAGCTCCCAATAATTTTTCCTCGATGTTGAATGGTACCTGCTTTCTATCCGTACGAAGTATATACATTTTCCTTAAAACCTTACAAGTACTTTCATGAAAGTCTAGTTCGTTAAACTCTATTTAGAAGGAAAACCGGAAGCTGAAGAATGAATATTGGGTGTTCACGCTCTCGATGTTACCCGATTTAGTACTAGGTGTTAGTTCATTGCGTACGGGGTCCTATCCAGAAATTCTTAAGTTAGAAAGTAATAAAATTTAATACGCAACTATTAGGCCTGCAACAGAAGTTTTGCTCGTACGTTTTTCTGCTCTATAGTAGATCTTAACTATTTTTTAAGCGGTTACACTATTTAGCTATTTCTTCACTGTTTTTATTAATGATAGTTAGTCAGGCCGAATAGCAGATAATGTTCTCTATATTTAATATAGGGGTGTTTTTCTTTGTGTTCTTTATTTTAGTAGAAAGGACTGATGCTACCGAAAGATTGGATAGCTCGGAACATGGTTTTTCCGTCGCATCATCAAGGATTCCTGTGGGTTACCGTAGCCGACCTCGATGGAAGTAAATGACGTATAATAGGCGATAATATATAGGCGAAGTGCTCGAAGTTCAAAAACGAAATTGCCATTATCAGCCAGAGCACCGAATAGATATGTAAAATATACTGTAGGATTAGACATCGTGCAAAATTTACTAGAAGGGTTCACTATTATACAGAAAAACATAATTTCCTCAATAAATGGAAATCATTGGACGCAAGCAGAGTTGCTAGCAGTTTCAGTTTATTTGAGAACTTTGCTTCAAACACAAAAAATAAATATGGAACATTTGGCGCAACACAAACTCCAACGGTGTATACTTGGTCGATTGAAGTAAACAATAGGAGTCCTTTACTTACTCTGAGAGATTTAAAAACTTACTTATAAAAATAAGGTCGGAATGGAACTATATTCATCAATGTCCACTATGTAAAACAAGCCACCGTCTAGTGTCAGTGGCGCCTAGAGAATGTAGTATTCGCAGGTATAGAATGTATTACCTATTGACAAGCTAGGGCTCCATGTATGCGCTCATAAGTCGCACAAAACGGCGCCGCTGTTACGCTGCCAAGGTATAAAGCATTTTCATACTTATTAGAAATCTGATAGATTCTTAGCTAGAACAGGATTCTTAGCTTAGAAGTTGATAGCTAGAACATCAATAAAATTGATTATTTCGCCTTTCTTTATGCCAGTTATTCATTGCGTCCACTGTTTCGCATATATCCACCCCTAGCTCTGAAACCCCAGCATGGATATTTCCTTTATGTTTGTCCACCGTCTGTGGATTGTCGTAGTACACATTAGATTTGAAATACCCCCGTAAAAAAAGTCGAGCGGACCTGTGTCACATTATTTGAAGCCACTTGTCTCGCTTCGCTTAGAAATCAGCCGCTCACCAAAAGTGATTCTCTATTAACGCAATTATTACGTTATTATTTATGTGAAGGTATTGGTTACTCTGTTGAAAACTTTTTCCACGATTCCGCGTGCAAGAAGGATACTAGCTCCTCGCAGCGAACCAACTTAGCGATTTATAGCTTTGTCTATAAAAAAAAAAAAAATGTTGTCCTCGACCCACATGACGTATTTTACATTATTTTCTTTTCGATATGAAATTTTCGTGAATAAGTCGGAAACGTATGATCTACGACAAAGGAACAACTTAACGAAGTTAACTCTACCGCGCCTAAAAACTGAGTGAAACAACCATCAAAGAAGCCCACTTCGTTAATATCATAACTAAAATATGTAAGTTTTGTAATAAAAAAAATAGCTTAATTCATGTAAATACATATAGTTGTCTTTTTGAAGTTGCTCCCGACTACGTGGGCGGTCCCTGTATGAAGACATCTATTGCTTAACGAGTTTGTCACTTATGTCTTCACAAGTGCGTAAAGAAGCAAATTACAGCGTTAATGGCTGCTCCTGAAACAATACCTTGGAACAAATAGTATGATCTGTCATATCGGTCTATACATGCCTCGACTATCTGCGTTATGAAATTGTAGGTCGCACTACCTTAGCTGATAGGTGCAGCGCAAAAGTGAACTACGTTCCATTTCTCTGAAGCTCTTTTTCTCAACCTTTCAATCAGAAGGCGGGATTAGTAATGGCTAGCACGTCAATGTTGTTTTCTGGCTGATTAAAATATGTCAAATATATGTGCTTGCTGGCGCTGTAACACAGGACATACGGGAGGGCTTGGCTGCGAAGAATTAATGGCGATAGGAGCAGGTACGACTGACACAGGAGGTCAGACGTATGTCGTACATGGAGAAGGTGGCCTGTGTAATACGAGGTCGCGAAGTTCGGACTGTAAATATAAAAAAAAAAAAAGAAGAAAGGACAGAAGTATGACGACGGACCTCAGCGGAAGGGCGTTGGAGATGATGAGGTTGTGGGCAATATGCAACCGCTAGGAAGTGGTCAAACAGCAAGCGTTGCATAGTACTTCTAGGCAATAGGTTGCAAAGAGCACAACTGGACGGGGAACACGGGAATGCTGCGTAGACGTAGCATGGCTGGTAACGGTGGCCGAATGTTGGGGCCGGAAGTCTTAATTACAAGCACCTGTTTTTTATTCAGTCAGCATTCGTTCGAAGGCATGGGATCATCTAGCTCAGCATAATGAAGAGCTCGTGGTAACTGTAGCATTGGAAAGTTGCCCATTGGGCTTTTTATATCCTCGCTTCGGCCTCGAACTCCCGTAGGGCCGACTTTCCCGCTCAAATCCCGTTTTCATGGGCCGTTCCGACTCGAGCTATCGGTAAGCGTTCCGGCGCAATTTCACCGCACCTTGGCTTCCGGATTCCTCTTAGCCGAGTAGCGATTCGAGCAGCGTCCTCTGCAGGCTCTTGTTTGCAAATGTACTGAGCGGAAACGCTGTCTGGGGTAGCATTTTCTTGAGAGAGTCGTCTCCGGAAACATCCGAATCATGCACTTGGCCAACCTGTTGCGTCGTGAGTGTCCGACAATCGTGTTCATGTACTTGATGTCGTTTCGCTCATCTGCGAGGCGCGGCGATATGAAAAAGGTTGCGTTGTTTGTCATGATGGTACCGCTAAGTCTCCGAGGAAGCACTGCGTACCTTCGAGTACCCGGATCGCGACATTCAATGTCGTTTCCCGAACCGGCACGCACTCAGCAAAGTAGGTGCGATGGTCAACCAATACTAAGACTGAAAACTTTACCGTCTGTGACTTTCAAAAGGCCCATAAAATCAAATTCCACTCTTTTGAAGGAACGTTCCGGGGCTCATGCCGGGATAGATGCGTCGGATTGTTCTGGAAATCAGTCTCACCAATGGCAGGCCTCACATCGGATCAACACCTCTCATGCCCCGTTATACCCCCCAGTGAATAAAACGTGATGGCTCCTTTTGTCTGGGACGATTGCGCGTGAAGCCGCTTTTCCTTTCTCTCGACACAGTAAGCCATCTCATTCTAGAGCACATATTTTGGTACAAGGACCCCTCTCTTCAATTCAGTGATTATCTTACGTAATGAAAATTCTTCCTCTGCTCAAGGAATCTTTGTTCAAACCTGGTATAACTCAAGGCTCTGTACAAGTAGCAGGGTCAGAAATAATGAGTCCCGTTGGCGTTAGTGGAGCTTTTTATGTGGAAAGCGTATTCAACTGACGTCAGGGATTAGAAAGTAGAGTTTACCTGCCTCTTCAGGTAATAGTCTTATGCTGTCAGTCACGGCCTTAAGTATAGCCCGTACAAAACCACGGTCGAACGTATTAAACGGCCTACGATACAGCCAAGCATTCGATCTTGGAAAAGTGGGCATTTGGTCTTGGGGAATGTCAATTGGAAGCTACACGACAATTCATGCGCACCGTTCTCTTACGTGGGCCAAACGGGTTCCGCTAGCGTCCGTTCGTAACCTCGTCTCCAACTCTCACACAAAGTAGCACAGGATGAGATTTTTTTTTGTGGTTTTCTGCCTTCTGTACACAGTCGGCATAGAAACGTCTTGAAACTCCCGGACGATTCTATCCGTTGTTTCCCTTGTGGTTTGGCTTTTGTATCACACCGACAAATATATTGTACACAGTTACGAAGTGTTGTCCTTGCGTTGGCAAGGGCGTTGTTAGAAAAAGTAAACTACGAATTTTTCCCCGTATGCGGTGAACACGTTATAAGCTAATAATTATCATCTACTAATTACCTTCAAAGTGTGGCTCAAGAAAATCCTCGCCGAATCCGACAAACCCAGTGAAATGCGCTCTCTAGGCCGACAATGTCATGTTCCACCGTAGAAAATAATGTCTGAGTAAGTAGTACTCCCAACAATAACATTCTCGTCGTACAGGCAATACCTGTCTGGAGTTATTTCGGTAAATTTCTTTATTTCAGTGCTAGGTTATTAATATGTGTTAAACAAGGTGTTCTTGATGCTGCACGTAAACCGTTTCTGAAGTCCCACCTCAGGTTGAGGCTTTGTGATCCGAGAAAGGCGATCTTTGAAAGCTAGACGAGGTAAAGAGAGCTTTCCAAGGATGTAAAATAGGAGAAATTAAGCAAAAACCGAAACGAAAATTAAGAAAACAAAGTGACTAAAATATAAAGTTTTATTCTTCTATAGGTTATCAAAGCATTTTTCTTTTATGGCCCTTTTCTCTGAAATCGGTTTTAATTGGCTTCTTATCTTTTACTGCTTTCGATTTAGTATTACCAAGGTTTTCAGCTCCCAATATGGTTCTCATATTTGAAATGTCACATTTGTGCGCCTATTGTCAGTTCGAACTTGGGACAAAGTCAGAGTAAAACAACGATAAGAAACTTTTACAACAGTCCTTTCTAACAATAGAGAAAATTTGACAACTAGCAAATAAGGATGGATCATGCTTCAACTTAATACGAGGAATAATGAAAGGTTTACTTACAATTATAATAACATTTATGAAAAGACTCACTTCAAGATAATTACAGTAGCTTGATAACGAATTGACCTGATCTAGCTAGCGACGCCTCCTGACCGAGCTGCGTAATGCAATACTATATATAGTTTAAAAAACGGTTTTCGGGATCAGACCCAAACAATCATTCGTGTTTATTTAAATGGCACTAATCATATGCGGATATCTATAAATAATGAAACTTTCAAATATTACAGTGCAGGAAATAACCTCCAATGATTTGACAAGCGTAGCGATTTTTGCCAGTGAATAGACGAACCACAACTATCAAATAGGCTATTAATTATATGGGTCGTGTCGGATTATGGGGCGGCGTCATCTATCAGATAAGCGGCACACGTCCACAAGAAAGACCAGGATTTTTCAACCTGCACAAAATATATGAGTTCCACATGCTTGATCAGAAGATCACAGAAGAGGAAGGGTTCAGTGCGGATAGATGCAAATAAACGTGCCAAACAAATTGCAACGAAGGTTGGATCGCCGACTTTAGGACAGTGGTCATAAGAACGAATAGGGTCATGACCTTTTTGTATAAAAAGACATCTGTATAAGAACACCGCCCCTCATTTGTAGTTCTAGTGCAATGTATTGTACATTATTAGCTGTTTTGAATTTATCTACGAGAAGCGTGCGTTGAAATGCAGCCTATAAATAAAACGTTAGAACCATTGTCCAAATAATCGTTTTAATACTCTAGTAATTATTTGTCAATGATATCAGAAGAATATAGGCCGTCTAGATACTGACATTCTATCCATGTTTCAATCACTACTACTATATTCGATTAATCTCCCGAAGAGTACCAACATTTGTAGTAGACAAAATCTGATCTATTTCCTAGGATCTAACTATACTGCATATATATATATATATATTATACAGGGTGGGGCAAAAGTCATTTGACAAGTGTATCCTTTATATACGCATGTACGACATACATATGTATGTATGCATGTGTATATATATATATATGTTAGGTCGCGTAGCATGGCACACGCGATAGTGAACTAACATTTCGAACTCGTTTTTTTTTTTAATTTTCAATATATGGCCTCCTGTCATTTTTTTTATTTCGAAACAGTTATTATGTTTCTGACGTGCGTCAACCAGAGACCGAGTTGACGCTTTAAGCGGACACCGTGTGATACAGCTCTGCTCTACTCTCCTTATCGGTGACGACTTTAACGCAAGACTGAACAGGCGAACTTCAAGCCACACATGTGCCTTCCGTAAAATTTCACCCGTAGGTTGTCAACCTACCAGTCACAACTTCCTAAATAAGCCACAAAGGAAGCTTGGCCATTAACTTTTTCGCAAGCAACGCATTATATACGTTTCAAATTAGCTCGTCAGCCCTAGCAAACTATTTTATCATTATGTTTGGATCGAACGATTTGATATCGGTAGACTTCTTCGTGATCTCGGTTGTCCGAAAACAAATGATCCT